AAAAAATTCCTAAAAATATCGCCTCTGATATCCCGTGAGGGCTGCATGTCTGGGGATAACTACAGCTCTCCACCTTTCCAACGCGACCACTCCCATCTCAATCTGATGATGCATTTGGGAATAACAGCCCTCTGAAATGTGGCAAGATTTCCTACAAGGTGGCCTGAACGCCCAACATGTTGACATTTTCCACAGTTTTGAAAAAATTCCTAAAAATATTGCCTCCGATATCCTGTGAGGGATGCATGTCTGGGGACAACTACAGCTCTCCAGCTTTCCAACGCGACCACTCCCATCTCAATCCGATGATGCATTTGGGAATAACAGCCCTCTGAAATGTGGCAAGATTTCCAACAAGGTGGCCTGAACGCCCAACATGTTGACATTTTCAACCATTTTGAAAAAATTCCTAAAAATATCCCCTCCGATATCCTGTGAGGGCTGCATGTCTGGGGAAAACTACAGCTCTCCACCTTTCCAACGCGACCACTCCCATCTCAATCTGATGATGCATTTGGGAATAACAGCCCTCTGAAATGTGGCAAGATTTCCAACAAGGTGGCCTGAACACCCAACATGTTGACATTTTAGACCATTTTGAAAAAATTCCTAAAAATATTGCCTCCGATATCCCGTGAGGGATGCATGTCTGGGGACAACTACAGCACTCCAGCTTTCCAACGCGACCACTCCCATCTCAAGATCCCCTAAAATGTCTAAAAATAAGTGATCAAATATATGTGTGTCCATAAAATTGTGTGTCCATGTCATTGACTTAATACGCGCTACACCACACTCAAATTTTCTTCCGAATTATTTTATTACTGATTACGATGTGACTGTCTTCTCATTCATTCCTGCAGTTTCACTGTGATTTAAAACGTGTTGATGCTGAGCGTCGACCGCGCGGACACATGACGTCGGGAGAGTTCACATAGGTTGTCCCAATGCATTGAAACGAGACGAGTCATTGGATAAATGCTGGTTTTGTCCTGCCCATTAGACGCTCAACGTCTCTGGGAGTCTATGGACAGTGGGTGTTTGTCGGCTGACCCGGACGCTCAGCTTTTCTGATGATCTGTCTGAGGCTTTTTGATTGACAGCGAAATGAGTCAATCACCAATCTTTTGGTGTCGGCATCAGTGGGAGCATTTTTCAATTCTCATTCTGTTCTGAGTTGAACCGGAGACTTCTTCTCATCATCTTAGCGACACTCTCTTTGTTGAAAACGACTAGCGACAAATTCATCTTTTATTTCTGGTGGGTTTTATTGTAATTCACACATCACAGATCATTTTCTTGAATAGGAACGGAGAGTAGAATTCACATAAACTGACACATTTTATGATGTCGGTCGAAATTGAGCTTCCCCTCCTTTACAGACTAGCATCTGCCACTGCTTTCAACATACACACAAACATACAGTACATATATACACAAACACAAATGAATACAAAATCACAAATTTATTTGCACAATTTTACACTCATGTACATATTCAAAATGCCCATATACACAAAGACACATTTACACACATTTACAATTTACACAATTTTACACTCATGTACATATGATTCAAAACCATATACACAAAGACACATTTACACACATTTACAATTTACACAATTTTACACTCATGTACAGATTCAAAATGTCCACACACACATTTACAAAGTTATTTACACAATTTTACACTCATGTACATATTCAAAATGTCCACACACACATTTACAAAGTTATTTACACAATTTTACACTCATGTACATATTCAAAATGCCCATATACACAAAGACACATTGACACACATTTACAATTTACACAATTTTACACTCATGTACATATTCAAAATGCCCATATACACAAAGACACATTTACACACATTTACAATTTACACAATTTTACACTCATGTACATATTCAAAATGTCCACACACACATTTACAAAGTTATTTACACAATTTTACACTCATGTACATATTCATAATGTCCACACACACACACACACACACACACACACACACAGATATATATAGTTGAAGGTCTCCCAGGTGTCCAATTCACACTCATGGCTCACATACAACGCATGACCAATTCCCTGTTCTCGCCTTTGCCAAGTCATCCACGGTCATTCCAAGGCATTGCTCGTGATACCACCTTTCACATTCGTCACACTGTATCTATTTAAAGGGGAAAAATAAACACACAACATTATAAAACAACATATTGCAAAATTAGGTATAGGGCATCTTTCAACCAGAATAACTCTTAAGTTGTTTTTACAATTCAACATACAACATATTCATTTTTTTCTGACTTGAACTCCAATTTCAACAGTGTATGCAAACCATCGTAATGGGAAAATATATTTTCATTTTCAGCAAATTTGCCTTGTAGAGTTTGTTAGAATAGACATAACAGAAACATGGATGAAGGAGTCAGATGTAATAAAGAGAAATAAAAAAACAGGGTGCGATTTTCTGGATGAATGCGAAGGCGTGAAAAACGTGTGAGTTCTTCTGTGAAAGTCTGGGCTGAAAGGCAGGAACATTTTGATTTTTTGTGATATTATGTGTAAATGGTTGAAAAAGTGTGTGTGTACATTTTATATATATATATATATATATATATATATATATATCCCAAATACAGTATATATAAAACTCACCCAGTTAATCAAAGGAGGACCTGCTCCAGGTGGTTTGCCCAACGAGCACATGGCACAGTGCATGGTGGGATCAGATACTACAACATGATGAATCATCATTTAATGTACATTTCAACATACATACTTTTTTAGCATGGGTGATCAGTATAAACTAAAAAAACCTGATGCTGCCAGTATTTCCAATCCAAGTTTTGTTCTCTCATTGGCCATTTCTTTCGTTGACGAATCAAATTTAATATGTGGAATCTTTGGAAAAGTTTTCATGAGCTCTGCGGCAATCTGAAACACAAAGAGTTTTTCTTGTCTTGTGGGAGTAACAAAATTGTTTGGAGTGAACAATTTAAAAACACAGCTTATACAAGGACGCAGTGTGTTTCCATTCCTTTTTTAAATGAAACACATCATATGGACACAGATAATACACAAGCAGTGGCCATTCTATATTATTGGAAGAGTTACACTTGCCAAGGTAACAATCACACCGCAGCTGGATGAATCCTGCTGTGTGGGGTGGGCCAAACATCCTCCTTTCCATTCTTTATCCTCCCACTCTGCTTTTCCGTGGTGCGTTCTCCGCATTGTTAAGAATTCACTGAATGTTTGATGAAGGAGACAAGAATAAAAACTTTCCCACTGTGAAAATTAGTCATATCTACACATTCTGCAGTGGTGAAATCATGGAAGTCTAAGTATAAATACCGGAATCTTTTGGCTGCAGTTGTGGAATCGTTGACCTCTGTGTGACATTGAGCGGGATCGACCAGATATACTGTTCCAGTGTCAGCCTTTATGTACTGGAGAAGGTGTAAAAAGAAATCCAAGGTTACACATACATTGTTATATATTTAGGGAACACATGAACTAGAGGTTGAAAGTTGTCAATACCCAAAATTTAGAAAAAAAAAACACCTGTGTAACTATTTTGGCAAGGAATGCATTTCTTTTTTTCAATGTGAATACATGAAATGCACTCACCAGAAGTTTCCAGTGGTTATTATTTACATTTACAAAGGATAAAATTCCCTTGTAAGAGTTCAGGTTTTCCTGTCAATGCAAAAAAAGATTAGGTCTTATAACTTACATTCATCGATCTATTAAACGCATGACGGTTTTGAGAGCTATCACCCTAATTGGCTTGGGGGCCCTTGCCCAGGTCATAACAATACCTTTGGGAAACAGTGCCGTGGAAGTGTCTTCTTGTCACCAGAGATAATCAGTTCAGCAGTGTAGTAACTCATAAGATAAAGGCTCGTCATCATGAGTTTCTTGGCCAAAACGTGAAACAATCCTTCAATGATCTATGTAGAAGAGCAATAATTTTTGTGACATTATTTTTCAAATGAGTATTTAATGATTGAATTTAATCAGTATAAAAACAAAATGAGAATTGCACCTCGCCAGTGAGCCACTCATGAGGTCGGAGTGAACATAGCTCACTGTGACGAATTACCAAACTGCGGTCTTCCAGCAACGAAGGGAGCACTGCAATCACAACTTCTGCTGGCTTACGACTCCATAAATCTTGTAACTGTAACCACAAGCACAAAACAACGAAAATATCACGGACCATTATTATATGTTTGGTGTCGTTGACACCTCTGACACTACTTTGTAACATGTGTAATAATACCTGCTTAGCTGGAGTTGTTGAATGTTGTTGGATATGCAGCCCTTGACCGCTTTCAGTTTGAGGAGACTCCAAGGCTTGGCTCTGGACTGCAGAACCAGACTCCTGAGAAGCGCTGATATCAGTGGTTTCATTGATGACCTTGTGAACAGAGAAAGGCTTGTTTCAAATCAGCCATTTTAACTTTGAATGAGAGCTTGAACAGTAACACATCAGTGTGTGATGTGTTTGTCATTTATCATTTATCAAGGCTCTGTGGGACTGCTTCGACGGCAGTCCCGCTTCGACTCAACCAGGCGCTGATGTGTCACCCGATGAAGACGCTGGAGAGACTCGTCCTCGCCAACTGCGACCGCTGGTGAGCTCCTCACTGGACCCGCTACCGTTTGCCTACCAGCCCGGCATCGGTGTGGAGGACGCCATCATCGACCTCCTCCACTGGGCGCTGTTACACCTGGAGAATGCTGGGAGCACTGTGAGGATCATGTTCTTTGCTTTCTCCAGTGCCTTCAACACCATCCAGCCCAAAATACTGGGGGACAAGCTGCGGCACGCCGGGTTGGACCACCAACTCACATCATGGATTACAGATTACCTCACAAACCGGCTGCAGTATGTGAGGGCACAGACCTGTGAGTCGGACAGGCTTTTCTGCAGCACTGGGGCGCCGCAGGGGACTGTTCCTGGCTCCATTCCTGTTCACCCTCTGCACCTCGGACTTCAGCTACATCACTCCAACCTGCCACCTTCAGAAGTTCTCTGACAACTCAGCGATTGTCGCACTCATTACAGAAGGAAATTATTGGGAGTACAAGGGACTGACGAAGGACTTTATGCAGTTGCATATATGCCTATATCTATGTTTTATATTTTATATTGCATTCTGTCCTGTGTACAGTTCTTTTTTCAGAAACATTTACCGTATTGGCCCGAATTTAAGACGGTGTTTTTTGCGTTGAAATAAGACTGAAAAAGTGGGGGTTGTCTTATATTCGGTGTCTAGACATTATATCCATTCACGACGCTAGATGGCGCCAGATATTGACGCGAATGCTGAACTTGACTCCCCAGGCCAAAGTGAACCCCTGCCACGAAGAATAAAAATAAAAATAGTGGTAGCACGAAGAAGAAAAATAAAAAATAGCGGTAAGAAAGAAAGAGAAGAAAATAAACAAAGAGATAACAGAAAATGGAGAAACGTAGCGACAATCTGGAGAAAAGTGGGTCGAAGATCGGCCAGGTTAACCGGCAGCTGAGGAGAAGTTATGATGTCATTTACATGTCAAAAAGCAGAAGCCATTCATTTACGAATGTGATTGCACTTTAGTTTACATATTTAAATGTTCAGATAAAAATGAATGAGGCAAAATAACATGCTTTTTCTCTCAAATATATTGTTATAATCATTTGTTTCAGATGTACTGTAATTATTTTCTGCATAAAAATTAATTTGGTGTTCAAAATGGCTTTTTTCAAACTTGAGTCGTGAAAAAGAGGGGGTCGTTTTATAATCAGGGCGGTCTTATATTCGGGCCAATACGGTATTTTGTGCATGCAATACTTTGTTTTTCTTTTGTACCCCTTCAATTTTTGCTGCTGTAGATTGCTAATTTATCTGTTGTGGGACAAATAAAGGTTTTCTTATCTTATCCATCCATCCATTTTCAACACTGCCTATCACGGATGCAAGGAATTGCTTGGAACCTATCCCAGCTAACTTGAGACAGAGGGCAGACAGCACCCTGAAATGGTCGTGTAATCGACCTAAATTGACACCCTAAATGGAGTACCTGTGTGCTGGAACCTTTAAAATGGAATGGCTTTGTGATACCCTTGACGTATCTCCCCCTCTTTTTCTGATTTCGTTGTTTCCATTTTTCCACGTCCACTCTAAAACTCTAAAAAAAAAAAGGCAAGACACATAAATTGAATATTTCCATTGATGTTTTCCAAACATTTCTTCAGTAATATGCTGTAACTGCTATTAATCATTGAAATGACCACCTCTTTTTGAAATACACAACAGCCCCTCTTAATTTGAAATTCAATTAGGCTTTGATAGTTTTAATTTTGTATCACAGCAGTCTACCGGTATTTGATTTTATGACAAACTTTTACATTAGTATGATGAGAAATAGGTTGACTGTATCTGAGTTGTGATAAAAAGCAATTATTGTGGAAATGTACAACAGTCAGGATTGTTTTTCAAAGATTGTTGCATAATTTGTCGTGAACACAGTCATGAATATCCTATTTTTAAGGATTACTGCAAATACACTTGGAAGCAAATGACTTAAGTATTGTTGGAGTTGGTACCGTTTAAATATTTTTATCTGAAAAGTATATATTGTCAATTTTTTGATGGATGGTAAGATTTGCTCACCTTTCTTTTCAAAGACCGACTGTGGTCGTCAAACTCCTTCAACATAGCTGTGTGGATGAGCTGGTACTGGACAACAAAATCATCTAGCCTGGTGAGCCTTCGAGACGGGAACCGAACGTGTTTCAAATCCCACTGGCTTTTCTCCATTATGCCCTGTGTTTTATTGTCGTCTGTGATATTCTGAAAAACAGTTACAGTTGCTTCAAATAGGAAAACAAGATTTTAATAGAGCAGAATGTGTTTCCATTGAGCTACCTGTCTTTTCAGGGTTTTCAGGAAATTATATCTCCGTGTTGCATTCTCATAAACTGTGCCAGTCCCATGACGTCCAAGATCACCTAAGAACCCCCCACAAAAACACATATATATATATATATAAAAAATTATGTATTTCCACTTGTGTGTGTTTGTGCACATGTGTGTGCACGTGTGTTTGTGTGTGTTCACCTACCAAGCATCATGGCAGACCACAGTGCAGCATAGGGTAGGATGTATTGACACAAGTGATGAATAAATCCATCGCAATAATACACGTTGGTCTGGCCATCTTTATCCAAAGGAGCTTTGGCAATTAGTCGACTGAAATGCTTGGCAAAAATGTTTTTTCCTTGGATGTCCTAAATATTGTAGAGGTTATTTATTATAACATAACTACCCCAAAAATCTCATGTCGAACAAAAGCCATATTAACTAAAAGAAAGTTATCAAACAAAGGAGATCAAATGAAAAATTACATACATTATGCTTGAAAAAGGGCAATGTTTTTAGGAATTGTTAATTGGTGGCCCACATGAAAATAAACTTTCTATCAAAATGTGCATTCATTGACAGTTACATATTATACCAGTGTAAGCGCAAATGAAAAAGAGTCTACCTCATCAAGAAGTCCTTCACTTTTTCGGTTTTCCTCAAAAGTTTGTCGTTTGTCCTGCATCAGGAGTTGCAGGTTTTTGAAGTGCTTTTCAACGTTTTGTCCACTGCATGGACTGGAGAAAACGACTGTAGCACTTAAAACCATGTCATCCAGAGCTTGTAAGGTTGTTGCGGTTGTAAAAAGTCCGATTACATGCATAGCCAGGTGGTATTCTTGTTTGGCGCTGAAAGAAATTACATAATGACATCTGTGATCAACACAAAGTAGTGATGAGAGTATTGTTTAAATTAATGAGATATAATTGTAATTTAAATGTTCTTACAACTTTCTACAAATTTCCTTGGCATTCTTCATGAGATGACTCCGGCATCGGTGCAGAACTGGGATGTCAAAATCTGCAGATTTCCCTTTTCCACTTATTATTGCGTAGTAATGCTCAATGGTGTTAGTCAAATTGGTCTTCATAAACGATAGACACAGTGCTTGCATAATGACGATGGAACCATCGCATAGTAGCATCAGTGGAGGCCGCACCGCTCTCTGCCCATACGCCTTTGCAACATCTGTTAGAAATGCTTCAAGAAAATACTTGACGGAGGCAGTGGTGTGGTCACATGTCAAGTATGTTGCCACAGGAAAGGGTGAGGAGTTCTTGGAAGGATTCCTCACAACAAGCTCATACACATAAAATGGTGGGGAGCCCTTTCCCTTCTTCATAATGCTACCAGTGGCGTCCAAATACAAGATGTCTTCTCTTGTCCTCTCATGATAGATGTCGATGCTTCTCAGTGACCACAATAGTACTCCTTTAGGAAATAAAAAAACTTTTTGGAGAACATCTTCTGGTTTGTTTGATTTTCCTTCAACCATGAACTGCAAACTTAAGAGCTCATTGTTATGGAGGCGACTGTTTTGTCGAACTTCCCATGAGATGGTTTTCAATATAGAAGGTGTGGGGGCCTCATCTCTGCATCCAGACTCCATAACTGTGTCATGTAATTGGCCTATGTTATGTAAGTACATTGACCTCGGCAATTCTTTTTGCAATATCTTCCCCATTGCACACCTGTCCTTTCCTCTTACTGGTCTTGATTTTAATTCGATGCGATTATGGATGCTTGTCTTGCCCTTGAAATTCACATCGGCTTTCAGATCCTTTGCGTTATTTACTGTGTCTTTTACTTGAACAGGACAGTCTTCAAAGCGACAGTAACCCAGACACCAAAATTCAGGACCTTGTCTTTGTGAGCCATGTGTCTTAACACTGTGTCTTTTAAAGGCAAAAGAGCAGTATGGATGGATTGAACGAATTCCTTTGGCGATGATGTTTGTCCACTGAAGAGTTTGAATCCTCTACGTGTTCTTGATTTCTGTAGAGAGGTCCAGTCCTTTTGGTCAATGAAAAAATATGTTGATTTAGAAGGCACAAGATTCCTTATGAACCCATCATCTTCTTCAGACATAGCAGTCTCACTGGCATTGGTCATATTTTCCTAGGGCGAAACAAGACAACAACAAAGAAAAAATGTATAGATTATATCTAAATACCCTGACAGTTACAACATAGATTTTGACTTCCATCCATCTAGACAGCTAGCCAGTCAGCCAAAGCTGTTTCGTTTCACAGCTGTGAAAAATTATGCCTATCCCATTTGACTTTGGGCAAGAGACAAGGAACAACCAGGAATGGTCTACAATACATCACCGGACACTTCAAGACAAAATACTCAACAAAACAAAGTGACACAGAGTATTATACCGTACATCCAAGCAGGACATGATATATCTGTTCTGACTCTGTGCAAATAAAACATAATTTCTACATACAAAAATGTGAATTAGAAGTCTAGCATTATGTATTCATTTAGGTTTTTTTGTTTTGTGTGCACGTGTGTGCGTCTGTGTGTGTGTGTGTATGCGTACATTAGAACCTTGTTTCCTACTAATGTTTAAATTGATTTATTTTTTTAGCTTTACAAACATTGCATTTCTTCAAGGTTTTTCAACCTTCCATGCTGTACTCTTTCAAAACGAAATACAGTAATATCAAATTAAATTCTTTCCTATGTGTAAGCATGAAGGGATGTGTGTCTACATGGGCCTCAGGCCTCTTGCCCAATTTCAGCCTGGACAGTCTGCAGCTCAACTTAAAAACTGAAAATAAGTCGAAAATAAAATGCATACATCATCTTAAACAAACAATGTATATTTGGTTGCATCACACAAAATGAAGGCTTACTTGCGCTGTTGGTGATGTGTCTAAAGGTGACTCACACAAACTACACTCCTCCTTTGAAAGACAAAAGCATCCATTTAGTATGTTATTAATTTGCCCTCACGCAAATCCAAATCCAAACACCTGCATTTAGCAAAATTAAACCAAACATGGTGATAAGAAAGGATATGCAGTAATGTTTTACGTTTTCTGTTGATTGATGTTCCACATCAATTATGATGTCTGGGGAATGGTGCATGCCCTCCCACAATTCTGACTCCACCTTTGAATGACAAACACCTACATTCAGCAAGATCATATTTAACATATGCAGAGACTACAAGTACAAAAGAGGACATGCAGAAAAAGTTTCCATGTTCTGATGTCTTATCCTCCTCATTGATTGTAACATGTTCTGTCCGCTGTGGTGGGAGCTTGTACGATTGTGACTCCTCCTATTAAACAAACACTTACATTGAACATGTTCATACTTAACTCTTACTAATTGGAAAAATCCACATGCAGCAAAACTTTGATTTTTTTGAAGGCGGGCCACCATGACATTTTTATTCGCCCCTGTGTACAATTGAAGTGCCTCACACAATTCCAAATGGGTCTTTGGTGTTTTGGGAGGGAGGTAGAAAATTAGATCAAACATAGGTCGTTGTGATGTAATTGTTAATTGTCGTGAGGCACTTGCATTGACTTGTATGTTTTTACAATCACTGGTTGCTCAGACAGTTTGAATGCACTCTAGAGATCAAAATGCCAAAGCTGTTAACAGTGAGAAAAGTCCTTCCTAATTGATTCAACAAAATCTGTCAAACTACTGACCTGGTGTAATCGGTATGCTCTCTGGAGTCTTTTTTGGCTGTTAACATTATTTGGGACTCTCAGATATGAGCATACCTCTTCCCAGAATTCTCTGTTGGCCACATTTGTGTCTTCACACAATCTTTTAATGTGGACCATAGCTTCTAAAATATCTGCTGTCAGCACTTTTCTGGTCTTGCTCTAGAGAAAAAAATGATTCAACAAAATCTGTCAAACTACTGACCTGGTGCAATTGGTATGCTCTTTGGAGTCTTTTTTGACTCTCAACATTTTTTGGTATTCCCAGATATGAGCATATCTCTCCCCAGAATTGTTTGTTGGCCAAATTAGTGTCTTCACACAATCTTTTCACGTCCACTATCGCTTGCAAAATATCTGTCGTCAGGACTTTTCTTTTCTTCCTCTAGAGAAAAAAAAAAGTAAGAGCATGATTATAAAAATGTAATAATAATGATGCACTTTGTGTTTTATATCATCTGAACCAACACCTTACCCCAAAGACCTTGAATAACAGAACTCTGTGTGAAGAAGAGAAACATTTTTTAAGTTATAAAAAATTACATTCAAAAGAAAATGTTCAAACAATACACCTATTTAATATATTAACATAAGATTATGCGACTCATTGCATAATACGGTTAAAAATAAAAAAGTATGACAAAAATATTTACTCCAATTAACCCTGTAACACCCAGATGTAGAAAAAAATACATGAGCAAGATTTTTTGACCACTTCTTAACTGCAAAAAAATAGTCAAGCATCAGCTAGAAGTTACTAGAACTAAAAACAACTGCAAATATACAGCGTTCCAAATATATTATGAAGTTTTGATTATTGCGCCCATATAAAAAAAATTGATATGAAGTTGTTCCGCTCCTTTTCCGAGTCTCTACGGACCGACATGTTCACCGTAGCGCGGGCGCGAAATACGGCGTTATGATTCGTTGGTTGGTTTGGGATAACTGTTATGCGCATGCGCAAAAGGCGCTAGGCATTCTGGTAAATGTAGTTTTGACCATATTTGGTCATTTTTTCAAATCACAACATGCCAACGAAAGCGACTGCCATTTAATGGTGGTTTGTCACGTTTGCGTGGTGGACCCCAAAAAGCAGGCAGGAGGGAGGAGCAGGGTGTATTCGAAGAAGTGTATTTAAAACAAAGAAAACTAAATCCAAAACAAAGTCCAAAGTAACAAACAAAAACCATGACTTAAGATAAAACATAACAGCAACCAAAACATGACTAAAACAAACCTGAGTACAGCAAACAAACGAACATGACAGTAGCGAGAGCAAACAATGACCCGACCGTGAGTGGTCGGGCTGGGAGTCCTTTTATAGCTCTAATTACCAAATTACCAACAGGTGTGCAGCTATAGGGGGAAAAGCCCCACAGTGCCACCTGTTGGTCACAAACCGAAACGTGACACTTGCATTGACTTGTATGTTTTTACAATCACTGGTTGCTCAGACAGTTTGAATGCACTCTAGAGATCAAAATGCCAAAGCTGTTAACAGTGAGAAAAGTCCTTCCTAATTGATTCAACAAAATCTGTCAAACTACTGACCTGGTGTAATCGGTATGCTCTCTGGAGTCTTTTTTGACTCTCAACATTATGTGGGACTCTCAGATATGAGCATACCTCTTCCCAGAAGAGAGCGTCACTTTAATAAACGTGATCTGTTGGACAGGGGGGAACTTGAGATCAAACACTACTGTGTTTCTACACGGCTATCATATTTGCTACCCTTTGGTATTTATCATGGCGAGACATCTTCGATTCGTTGCCCGGACAGTGATGGTTCAAGATGGCAACGTGGATGCGGCGTACAAACATCTCAACAGGTAACATTTATCATTTTGTAATATTTCTATCCGCTAAACTTCCCATCGAGCGGTTTGTTTAGTGGTGTCGAGCTAACGTGAGCTAAGGTACCCTTCCGCTCAATGTCAGGCAACTGCGCCTGCGTAAAATAGACTCCGTTTCGAGTGGGTCGGCCCATTGACGGCACACGTAAGCACGTCCGACATATTGAATGTGTCAGCTGCACCCCGTAAACGAATTCCAGTCAATGGATAGAACTATACAAAGCACCTTCCGACAAAGTGCAAAAAGTTAATAACTCCCATTTAACCATTAACACACACACACACAAGAGGAATAGCATAGATATCCGAGTGCATAAAGTGTTATGTGAGCCAAGATTGTGATAGAAAATGGCCCCCTAATATAGTGTATTTCGGTTCCTTTTTTTTTCAGCAGTCCATGGAAGGTTTCCAACATTGTAAATTCCTAGAAGTTGTAACAAAATGAAACTGTGATAATTTTAGTTTTTATCGTTTACCTCTGACATTGAGAGTCATGATAGCTGTACTGTATTACAGGGTCCTGACCCAGGATGGGATCATTGAGACGGTGAAGCGCAAGCGCTACTTTGAGAAGCCCTGCAGAGAGCGTCAGCGGAAGAACTACGAGAACTGCAAGCGTATCTATGACACGGAAATGGCCCGGAAAATTGCTTTCATCTCCAGGACAATCAGAACGGATCCCTGGGTTGGTTCTTAGTGAAAAGGCGACTGATAAGAAGATGTTCACGGTGGAATGGTTGAAATGGAGTCTGAAAGGTGGAACAAAAAGGAAACTCAGCCCAATATTTGTGTCACCAAGTGAAGGGATAGAAAGAATGGGATACGTTGCATCACAAGGAAATATGTTGTCCCGCCTTCTTTGTCATGACACAAACATTTGTGTCCTTGGAAAACAGATTCTTGCAAATGTTATGAACGCTGTCTAATCTGTTGTGTATATAAAGCATTTGGGGTAAAAATGCATGCCGCGTACTTATTCGGCATAAAAATTCGCAAAGGTTATGTTCTTTATTTATTTATTAATTATCGGCTCCCAAAAATATTGTATATAATACAGCTGGATACCAAACTGACATTTTAATCCATTGATATCATATTGAATGACTGACAAAATAAAAAGTCGCCAAGTCAAAATAATCTGCCCAAATACAATAACGAAGTATTTGTACTTCGTTACTTGCCAACTCCCGCAAACTGCGTCTCAAGCCAACCGACGCAGGCTGGCTGCCTCGTGACAGTCGCTTCGTAACGAGGCCACACTCGCGACACGTGCAGCGGCGGGAGCTGCAGCCAATCCGCTCGAGGAAGCCTGCCGATTGGTCACGCCTCCCAACCAATGATCTCGGAGCCAGGAATTTGTCAGCCAATCAGCTCGAGAAGCCTGCCGATTGGCCACGTAACATAAGATTATGCGACTCATTGCATAATACGGTTAAAAATAAAAAAGTATGACAAAAATATTTACTCCAATTAACCCCAAAACATGACTAAAACAAACCTGAGTGCAGCAAACAAACGAACATGACAGTAGCGAGAGCAAACAATGACCCGACAGTGAGTGGTCGGGCTGGGAGTCCTTTTATAGCTCTAATTACCAAATTACCAACAGGTGTGCAGCTATAGGGGGAAAAGCCCCACAGTGCCACCTGTTGGTCACAAACCGAAACGTGACACGGTTAGGGTAAAACTAACGTAGAGAATGGACCAAGTTCTATTTTTCTATTACCTGAGTTCTATGAATCAATTTTTTACACTTATCATATTTATTTGAGCATGAGAACACGAGACATAGAACAATAAAAATAAAAAAATACGTTTCAAAACATTTACTGTCCTAATGAAACTCCTGTGGGGCTAGGATGAAGTCTATACTACTACTATATCTGATTATGTAATTAAAAAATATATATATAATTAAAGATTGCAATATGTTGTAAAATATACAGACAGACGGTATTATATGTAAAAAATATACACGTAGTACCCTTTTTGGTCACAATTGCAACACGTTATACTGTACACAAATATGGTCTAGGCATGTATTGAATATATATTCATGAATATAAATACAGAATCGCATATGTAAAACTAAAGTACTTCATGTATTGCATGATATCTTCCAAAATATTGCAATATGTATATTTTTGTTTTGTCAGGGGCACCTCTGGAGGTTTGCCGACAGTATAACGAGAGCGTCACTTTAATAAACGTGATCTGTTGGACAGGGGGGAACTTGAGATCAAACACTACTGTGTTTCTACACGGCTATCATATTTGCTACCCTTTGGTATTTATCATGGCGAGACATCTTCGATTCGTTGCCCGGACAGTGATGGTTCAAGATGGCAACGTGGATGCGGCGTACAAACATCTCAACAGGTAACATTTATCATTTTGTAATATTTCTATCCGCTAAACTTCCCATCGAGCGGTTTGTTTAGTGGTGTCGAGCTAACGTGAGCTAAGGTACCCTTCCGCTCAATGTCAGGCAACTGCGCCTGCGTAAAATAGACTCCGTTTCGAGTGGGTCGGCCCATTGACGGCACACGTAAGCACGTCCGACATATTGAATGTGTCAGCTGCACCCCGTAAACGAATTCCAGTCAATGGATAGAACTATACAAAGCACCTTCCGACAAAGTGCAAAAAGTTAATAACTCCCATTTAACCATTAACACACACACACACAAGAGGAATAGCATAGATATCCGAGTGCATAAAGTGTTATGTGAGCCAAGATTGTGATAGAAAATGGCCCCCTAATATAGTGTATTTCGGTTCCTTTTTTTTTCAGCAGTCCATGGAAGGTTTCCAACATTGTAAATTCCTAGAAGTTGTAACAAAATGAAACTGTGATAATTTTAGTTTTTATCGTTTACCTCTGACATTGAGAGTCATGATAGCTGTACTGTATTACAGGGTCCTGACCCAGGATGGGATCATTGAGACGGTGAAGCGCAAGCGCTACTTTGAGAAGCCCTGCAGAGAGCGTCAGCGGAAGAACTACGAGAACTGCAAGCGTATCTATGACACGGAAATGGCCCGGAAAATTGCTTTCATCTCCAGGACAATCAGAACGGATCCCTGGGTTGGTTCTTAGTGAAAAGGCGACTGATAAGAAGATGTTCACGGTGGAATGGTTGAAATGGAGTCTGAAAGGTGGAACAAAAAGGAAACTCAGCCCAATATTTGTGTCACCAAGTGAAGGGATAGAAAGAATGGGATACGTTGCATCACAAGGAAATATGTTGTCCCGCCTTCTTTGTCATGACACAAACATTTGTGTCCTTGGAAAACAGATTCTTGCAAATGTTATGAACGCTGTCTAATCTGTTGTGTATATAAAGCATTTGGGGTAAAAATGCATGCCGCGTACTTATTCGGCATAAAAATTCGCAAAGGTTATGTTCTTTATTTATTTATTAATTATCGGCTCCCAAAAATATTGTATATAATACAGCTGGATACCAAACTGACATTTTAATCCATTGATATCATATTGAATGACTGACAAAATAAAAAGTCGCCAAGTCAAAATAATCTGCCCAAATACAATAACGAAGTATTTGTACTTCGTTACTTGCCAACTCCCGCAAACTGCGTCTCAAGCCAACCGACGCAGGCTGGCTGCCTCGTGACAGTCGCTTCGTAACGAGGCCACACTCGCGACACGTGCAGCGGCGGGAGCTGCAGCCAATCCGCTCGAGGAAGCCTGCCGATTGGTCACGCCTCCCAACCAATGATCTCGGAGCCAGGAATTTGTCAGCCAATCAGCTCGAGAAGCCTGCCGATTGGTCACGCCTTCCAACAAATGAGGTCGGAGCCAGGAATTTGTCAGCCAATCCGAGTTGTGTACCCACGTCGCACGTGTATTCCCAATTGCTCGAGTTGTACTTGAGCGTTGGCTTGACTGTACAGTCGTTGCAACCAACGATTAACAAGACAAGACAGGACTGCTATTCTTCGGCGACAGTTTCAATTCGCGTAGTTTTCTTTAGAAGCTGTTTGTTTGTATTTCGGGAGCTTTGGCTTGATTTATTTATTTTTTTGGAATCCGCTATCCACATTTCCAGAAACCCAATTGTGCAGTTGCAAGGTAAGACTCTCAAATGATACGATGCGAAGTTAAAGTTGATTGACGCATGCAAACGCAGCGTCCTTCTTCCATGCAAAGTCTCTGTGAAATAATTACTTGACGGTGTCATTTATATCAGTCACGCCTTTCGAACCGAAGCTGTATGTCGGTTTGCCTTTAGTACATTTTGGGAAGCAAATATTTCAGCATAGCGTTGTTGATAATCTTGCCTGACATTCGCTTTTCATTAAACACACACACACATATGTATATAAGTTTACTACTAAAATAGGTTTTAAAAATCTGTTACGTACCCACTTGAGCGTGACTCATGGAACGTGACGCCGAAAGTTTGCGGCACGTGGATAGAAGCATGTTCTTGAAATTTCGTCCACGAATGATCGACATTAATCGTAAATAGACACGTTCCGTATATTGTACTGTGGGACATTTGTATCAATGTCCCGACTAAATAACATGTCGCAATATTCCATCCTCGCAGTTTTTTTTTTTTTTGTGATTGTTGTAATGGGTATGTACCATAAACATATTTCTTCTTTTTTTTTTCTTAACCTGTCAGCGGCATTATTTTGACCACGCGCACGATTATATTTTATATCGTTTTCTTAAATGTAAAGTTTGATGTGTTTGTCCTTCATGCTTTGGCGTGCTTTTTTTTTTTGGGCTTGTGCGCATACCCAGTAGTGACTCTTTTCTTGCCAATAAATGTTGTCATAACGTTTTGTAATCCTTCCTCACTCTGCCACCTACTTGCTGTAAGTTGTTTTGAATTACATAAGGGTGAAAAAAAGTCCCATTTTGATCCAAATAGAGAATTATCTTATTGTTCCACGGTGAGCGCCGATTGGTTGCGATTCCACTGAAGCTCTGACCTGTGTTGCGATTGGGACATAGTCTGTCGACTCTCGAATTAAAGTGAACTCTTCAGCGATGCTCAATATAAAAACAAAACAGTTGGAGTCAACACTGTATCTGATGCCCTTGAAAAATGACCAACTACAGTGAGTGCAGTGACGAAATAACTTAAAGGTTGCTGTTGAGGCACGACAAAGGAAAATATCCACGTTTTATTCTGGCAAATGCTGAAATGAAAAAAAAAATCCGCCTTGGCCATGGCCTCGTTTTCTTCCTGACCTTTCCTCACTTTTTTACGTCCAGATATGAATCCGTTGGGCGCGTCTTCTCAGTGGCCACCTTACAACCTGCATCCGTCCACCCTCAGCTACATCCTTAGTGAGAGCGAGTTGACTGAGGATGAAGGCGACATTTTGTCGGAAGGAGAGGAGGACTTGGGGCCCGGTAAGGTCTTCTCGGGCTACGAGGGATGCTTCCGAGGTCGCTTGGATAAGATGTACTCAAGGTCCAAGAGAGCCCACCACAAGGTCCATGTTGGCGGGAAAGCCAAGTATCACCTTTCTCCCGGTGCTCCCGCTGGTGCTTCATCATCACCTTCAGCAGGAGACCTCGCATTCACTCAGAAAGTTAGTCCTCGGGGAAATGTGCACCTTTTTTAAAATGTATTATTATTATTTTTTTAAATCTGATGGCTGTTTTCCACTGAGTGGATGTTCACAAGAATTTCTCTATTTTTTTTTAGTGCACGGATTTGCACAGCTTCATCTGTCCTCTGATGGATCTTCTTCATGGCCTTAAAACTGGCAGGTTTAACAAAGGTATGCGCTTGCACCGGCATACAAATAACTACTTGTTAGAAGGCAGGTTGACTTGATCCATCACATTTACTTGTAGAACATCATGCAAGTGCAGTGGTTGCTCACCTTCCGAGAGACCCAGCTTTGACTTTTTCATAATACAAACCACCGCTTGGCCGATTTGATCATTGATTTTTGGCTCATTTTGCGAGTAGTAATTTGGGTGACGAGTCTCCGCCATGAGATTTCGGCAGAAAACTTCACAACGTCAAGCAGCTTGGCGGCTTAGCGTCAACTTTCTTCGTCAGGCGGGCTGGCTTCGAGCCGTTTATCGCCACACCTTGTCGAAGCTTGAAACTAAACATAGTCCGAATGGAATTTCACATAGTGTGTTTAGTCAAACCACATAACTTTGCCAGACAAAGGTAAGATAGCGTAATGCTAACATGCACCCATGACGAGGGTAGCTAACACATCATGCGAAACATGATCGAGAGCGAACAAAACTAGCATCGGCGTCATGGTATTTCGAAACATTGAAACAGATATTTGAACATATAAGGCGCTGTAAGAAATGTCGACGAAGGCATTATTATGTGTGAGTTACACTGCTCCCAAGTGGCCAAAATCTGCACTGTCCGGTTTAATTCTGAACATTCCATTGAAATCTCGTTCTCATCACTGATTTCAGTTAATTGCAAAAGCGGTGACCGAGTCTTGACGTGCATTTTCCCGTGGCAGGTTTAACCAGTTTCCAGCAGAGTGTCGCCATGGACAGACTGCAGAGGATTCTGGGAATTCTGCAGAGGCCTGAAATGGGGTAAGGAAGCCCAATAAGACATTTGATGATGTCGTCAGCCCCAGCGCTGCCATTCATGCGTTTTCCCTCTTGCCCGTTTTTTGCTTGCAGGGAGCGATATCTGCGCAACTTGTTGCAAATTGAGGGGATGCTGAAAGTCTGGTTCCCTCAGGTGGCACCTCGTCCCACGGTCACGTTAGCCCAAAGCTTCACCCCCAAACTTATGACTCCCTGGCGCCAAAATCAGCTCAGCATGCCAGTCAAGGTGAGCACCATACTTGTTATTGTCGACAGAATATGTAGGATTGGGCCGTTTTGGACAAAAAAAAAAAAAAAAAAAAGAAGAAGAAGAAGAAGCAGCAGAAAATTATTTATTCAACTACCCAAATTCAACTTTGAACATAACTTAAAAGAACACCCAGAAAATAAATTGTGAAAAAGTAAAATTTGAATGTATTAAAATAGCGACTGTGCGCACTTCAGCCTTTTATTGGGCCCGGGTGGTGTCATTCATTTTTAGAGCAAGTTTTCCC